TCATTTAAAAATATATATATATATATATATATATATATATATATAAAATATTTATATTTCAGCTTTATTTCAATTAGAGAATTGAATTATGAATTGAAATGAATTAACAAAAAGACAGATTTAATATAAGAATTAATAAACTGATAATTGATTCCTAGCAATGAAACCAAAATCTATATTTTTCTTTGACTGTACACTGCAACCTTAGCGGCTGGTGGGATAAATCTTCGCAGTTTCTTTATCTTTATCGAATACACTTAAAAAACGGCTCAGTATGGAAGACTATGCAAATAATTTAAAAGAAAATATTTGTATGGGAAATTTGGGTATTAATGGTTTTGTAAAAACTACTTACTTTGTATCATCAGCCACCTCTACTTCAGCAGGGGCAGTTATGGGAGCGTTGGAGTGTCCCGCCGTGGGATCGTCTGTATTCACTTCTCCGTTGGTTGAGCTCATAACCTGAACATTAATTTAAGGCAGAAGGCAATGAGTTTTTGATACAGATTGGCAAAGATGAGTAACAACACAAAACCAAAGAAACAAAATAATTTTTTTTTATTTAATCTAACTTACACTTCATATTTATCAGTTCATGAAACTCGGGTTGGGGCTTAGTAACCTATTAAGGACACTTTTTAAAATAATTAAACGATTCAAATTCAGGTTGAAAATTAAAGAACAGCACTTAGATAATGGAAATACGCTAACACAGAAAATGAGCAAGTTTAGTTGGAAATCTAATATATTTTAAATGAAAATTTGCACCCTGGATAACTAGAAGTACACAAGCAAACATTCATTTGTCTTGCTTAGCTACTTATTTACAATACAAGCAGTATTTTCACACTGAAGTCACCAGATCCCAAGCCTAACCATCAAGAGCATGCAAGCGACGTGTTACACAAAGGAAAAGACCATTTCAGTTTTCACAGCTGAAAAAATGGATAGAGGTGCCTCAAGTGAGAGGATGAAAGGAACAGAGAACAAGAACAGAGAAAGGAGGTGATCGACACTAACGGCATGCAGTACTGCGCAAACACCCAGTACCTGGACAGAGCCCCCCAGCCTATCGGCCGTGAGGTGCGACCCCAGGAGCTCCCTGTTGGTCACGGGAGTGGGCTGGGACTCACTTCCTTTAGGTTCTGGAGACTGGCATGACAGCGATGGGGGAAAGGGGTGGGGGGTGGCAAAGGGCATAAGAGATGTTTTTGAGGTGAAAGAGGTGAGGGTGTAAAGAAAAAAAGAACAGAACGAGTTTAAAGAGGAACGCCTTACATGCACAAGCAGACTATTCTAGCTAACAGGACAGAGGTGGAAATAAAAGTGTGAGTGAAAAAACGAGATCACGCGACATGCACAGATGAAGAGGGAAAGCTGAGCTCTTATCTTTCACAAACAGCTCTAGCCAATCATATCAAAACTTAGAATGTAACGGGCTTTTATTTAAGGGACTGTGACCAAGACATGGAAATACCACCGTCGAAAAGAATGGCAGCATTTGAGGAAATTACAGATCTTCAGACTAGCAAAATCTACTCTGGCTGCAGGAAGTTGTCTTGGGATTGTTGATGAGTGAAACAAAAAGATACTGTTGACATGATTTAAAAGAGAATTATAAAACACTGAGATAACATAAAAAAAATTACACTGCATAAAGTAATGTTTCTCTATGTCAAATATAATAAATATCATATAAAAGAAATCAATACTAAAATATAAACTAAAATTAAATTGGTTAATGTTTAAAAAAAAGTTAAAGGGGTCATATGATGCGATTTCAAGTTTTCCTTTCTCTTTGGAGTGTTACAAGCTGATTGTGCATAGATAAGATCCTTTGTAGTAAACGAAGCGTTTGAGAGAGGCGGGGCATAGAGGACCTACAATAATGTACAGTATTTGAAAAATAATGTGTTTTTTGAACATTAAAGCATGTCAACATATTCTGTTACACCAAATAATTATCTTTAAAAAAAAGCATATGACCCCTTTAAATTAACAATTAAGGTAACCGAGTTTTAAAAAAAAAATGCCAATGTGCAGTTCACGCATGAGTACAATAGAAATTAAATTACAAAATAGTAATGGTTAAATTAACAGTTTTAAATATGGACATTAGTCAATTTGAAGAGTTTTTTTCATTATTTAATTCCTTCATTTTATTTTAAAGTGGCACTCAAAGCAATTAAACTACAACTTATCGCTTGACCATATACTATAAAATGACACAAAAAACAGATGCGTGTAATTTATAATAGCATAAAGACATAGTGACTTATCCCACCTGGTTTTTGGTCTGGGGTTGTGCTTTGTCTCTGCTGCTGGGCTGCAGAGGTGCGTCACTAGGCATTGGTCCTATTGGAGTCGGCTGTATAGACACAAAGAAAACTCAACATCCATGTGCTTTTTTTACATCATATACAAGTGGTTTATATGACATGACATCCAATTAGACCTACCAGCGGCTTGCCGACCCAGTCATATTCATAGTCAAAGACATAGCCATTTCTGTCAAAGAGGTCTGTAAAGAGCTTTCTCAAGTAGTCGTAATCTGGTTTTTCAAAGAAATCCAGTCTCCGCACGTAGCGCAGGTAGGTGGCCATTTCTTCTGTGAAAGGATGTCAAAGTTAAGGCAATGCACTGGAGATGAGACAGCACAAGATATGTGGCCATTTGAAAAAGAACCTGCTTACCAGGGAAACTCTCACAGAGCACTTCTATAGGGGTTGCCCTTTTGGTATCTCCAATTTTCTGATAGCGCTCCTTCAGTGTGTCAGCCTTAATGAATGAAACAGGACACAACAAAGATAAGAACATTTTGGGAATCCATGAAGACATTTGTCCAGTAAATTTCTCTCTTTTATACTATTAGCATACTATTAGCATTAACTTTATTTCACAGTCCTGCTTGGCATGTACATATTACGTACTTACTACATTAACTGCAATAACGGGGTAATAAATAGGTACTACCCCTGAACCTAACCTTAACCCATGTAGTTACCATGTGTCTCCCGAACAGCCACAGCTTTCAAAAGTATACTCAAATGCAGATGAGCGTGCATGGACAAGTTTGACACATGCTCAGTACCACCTAGTAGACTCAACATTCACCGTGTGCCTGTGCTGTTGTCCACGGACACTTCTGATGACAAAGATTGAGCGGACCATCGTGGAACACAGACGGCCGAAGTATACTTTGGGCTTCAAGTGAAACCCTTCGAAAACTTAATTTAAAAATCCTTATTCTATAAAGACTGAGCTCACAAAGAACAATTTCTAGCCAAAAGAATATTTTAGAGCCGAGACTTTCATGAAATTTACTTTAGAATTAATATGGCTACTTTTTAATTTATTAAAGGGGTCATATGATGCGATTTCAATTTTTCCTTTTTCTTTGAAGTGTTACAAGCTCTTGGTGCATAAAGAAGATCTGTAAAGTTGCAAAGACTAAAGTCTCAAATCCAAAGAGATATTCTTTATAAAAGTTAAGAGTCAACCACACCTACCTAAAAACGGCTCGTTCTAACACGCCCCCACATGTCTACGTCACGATCTGGGAAGATTTGCATAACGGCGGCCAAATGTTCACGCAAAGAAAGAAGGCGTAACTTTTATTCTCGCTGTAGTATTGTTGCTGCCGCCATGTCGTGAAGGCACTGTGTGTTTCGTTGTGAAAGCGAAACTACTTTGTTTGGCCTTCCAAAAAAGGATGATATCCGCTTCGTCATGCCTGGAGCTGATCCGTGATTGTCGCCGAGGAAATACATCAACTACGCACTGTGGATCGCTGGATCGGCTTTTACCGTGGACGAAACGGAGTCCAGCCCGGGGTCAACACATGTGGTTGCCGCAAGCCTGCCCGCCACCACACACTCAAGCCGGCCTCAGCTCACTCTAGCCCGCATGCCTCCGCTCACTTAAGGCCGCCGTGTGTGACGCTGTGTTTCGTTGCGAAAGCGAAACTTCTTTGTTTGGCCTTCCACAAGACTAGAAATCAGTGATTAAGTTGTATTTACAACACTGTTCCAGAACAGTTCAACCCAAATATTCAGATGTGTCCAGCGCATTTTATGGAGGACTGTTTCCTGATCCTGGTAGAGTAGACTACAATGCCGGCTGTTCTGACTCTCAGACTGTAAGTACGTTTTCATATTTAAAGAATTTGCCACTGACGATTCAAACGCGAGTTTT